CCCCACTCATTCCCAGTAGAAAGATCGCACTTGGTCCCATCCCGCGTAAAAGAGATTAAATTCTCTGACCGAAAAGGGACCGCCGAGCGAACTTCCGAAAACAGTGTAATAGCGACTCAGTCGTTTACCTGCTTTTCGGATCTGTCAGTTCGTTCGACCCGATACCAAACGCCACGAGACGTTTGACTTCGGGATAAATAAAGATAGTTGTTGCGCCGTCGACTCATCCTTCCCCGAGTCTGGACGTAACATTTGTTTGTTAATAACTTTTTAATAAGCAACGAGCGACGATTAAATTAGAAGAAAAAGTTACTCAGAATTATGTCCTTGATAACATATATCAAGGTCAAGGTCATTGGGGCTTTGTCCCCTATTCGCTATATTTACCTTATTTTTTATTATTCTTTTATTATTTTGTTAAATAAATTAAGATGAAGAAATAAAAATTATATAATCTTATGTATAATTCCTAAATGTAATATTTTTTATATTTCTTTCATTTTTATCTAAAATAGAAAGGTTAGAAAAACATAAAGTTTAGTGTAAAACTATGAAATTTGAAATATTTTTCTTTTTTATAACTTTTTTTATAAATTAAAAATTTTTTCTACATGAGGAAAATAATATATTTCTAACAAAATACCCAACAAACACAGCTGCACCTATAATAATAATATTTTCCAACAAATATTCAATAAACACAGCTGCACCAATAGCTATAAAATTATCATAGAAGAATAGGATCTTTTTTCTAATCTGAACACGTGGAAGGAATCTCCGAACGAATATCGAACTCACCAATGGACGATCACTACGAGTAAAACGCAAAAAGTAGGAGGAACACCCCGCCTAACGAAGACACTGGCACATTTTTAATTTGCTAAAGTTTTGGAAGATTCCCACTCTTAGAAATTAGAATAACCCCGAAAAGAGAGATATAAAAAGAAGACTCGAACAGACTTAAGCACTTTTCTGTCAGTTCGTTCGACCCGATACCAAACGCCACGAGACGTTTGACTTCGGGATAAATAAAGATAGTTGTTGCGCCGTCGACTCATCCTTCCCCGAGTCTGGACGTAACATTTGTTTGTTAATAACTTTTTAATAAGCAACGAGCGACGATTAAATTAGAAGAAAAAGTTACTCAGAATTATGTCCTTGATAACATATATCAAGGTCAAGGTCATTGGGGCTTTGTCCCCTATTCGCTATATTTACCTTATTTTTTATTATTCTTTTATTATTTTGTTAAATAAATTAAGATGAAGAAATAAAAATTATATAATCTTATGTATAATTCCTAAATGTAATATTTTTTACATTTCTTTCATT